AAATCCTAAATTAAACCTTACATAAATTCTAAATCTTAAACCAAATTCTAGAAAAATCTTAAATCTTAAACTAAACCTTAGACAAGTCCTAAATCTTAAATAATTCCTAAACTCTAAACTAAATCGTAGACAAATCCTAAATCCTAAACCAAATCTTAGATAAATCCTAAATCCTAAACTAAACCTTGAAGAAATCCTAAGTCCTAAATAAATCCTAAATTATAAACCAAATTATAGACAAATCCTAAATCTTAAACCAAATCCTAGACAAATCTTAAATCCTAAACTAAACCTTAGACAAATCCTAAATCTTAAATAAATCCTAAATCCTAAACCAAACTGTAGACAAATCCTAAATCCTAAACCAAATCTTAGATAAATCCTAAATCCTAAACTAAAACTTAAACAAATCCTAAATTATAAACCAAATTATAGATAAATCCTAAATATTAAATCAAATTCTAAAAAAATCCTAAATTCTAAATCAAATCCTAATCAAAACCAAATTAATTCAAACTAATCCTAAAATAAGTTAGAAACTCAATATCTATTGACTAAACCATTGATGTTGCTTAAAAATTTATACACCTTTCAACCTCTTAGTTAAAAACAAGTGCAACAAATTTGAAGATAATTATGCTTACAAAATAGAAGAAAAATCCTAGAATCTACTTGGATATTAGTGAGCCTCCTACTCTAATTTAAATATTGAACTTTCAATGCCAATATCTCCTTTTTGAATCATCAAAATTCTTCCAAAATTCTTTTAAATTGTTGAAAATTAAGTCTAGTCTCTACACAAAAAAAAATTCACTTCAATCTAATTGACATATTGCTAAACTTAAAAATACTCATTGACCTTCAAACTCCAATTTCTAAGACCTCAATCTACAAAAACTTTTACATACTTTGATCTAATCGTTTGATTGACCTTAAAATTTGTACACACATTTGTAACTAGTACATCAACACTCTATCCAAAATTTATCTATATGCATACCACAAAACTCAAAAAACCCTCAAATGTATAAACAAAGTTTTATTTCTTAAAATCTAAATTAACTAAGAATATCATTAAATTTGAAAATTCTCCCAATAGTAAATATTAACTTGATTGATGTAAATCCAACACCTAAAAATCTCTTTATAACTCTGATTTTAAATTCCACTCTCTAATTGACCAAAGAACCTCAAAGTCATTATAGGTACGTGATTTTGTACTTTGAGATTTGATTTCAATCCATATTCATAACCGATCTTCTTTGACTAATAAATCTTCACTTCTTGAGGTAAACTTTGCTAAAATCTACTTTTAATTCTTTCCTATACATGATTATATCATTTTATTTTCCAATCTACTTTATTTTGCCTTATTTATAGTCCTACAAAGTATATATAATTCAATTAAAGGTCAAACTTGATTGAATCATAAAAGGGCAATAATAGTACCTTTTAGTTTTACTATCTTTTTTACTATTATCTATTATCTAAGATAATTTTTTATAATATTTTAAAATGGGATCTTCTATAATATTATATTTTTTTTCTCTTTCATTCATTAACCATGTTACATCACAACAACATTCTTTCAAAATATTTTTATCTTTCATCCAAAGAAAGAAATGTAGTTTTTGATCATTAAAAAATAACTCTCTTAAAGTTAGAGCATTTTCATCTTTGAGTAATAAAATCAATATTAATTATTAATTCAAACTTACTCAAGCAAATTCAATCAAGTTTGTCCTTTGATCTTCTTATTTATGATATTAAGAATAATTTTTCTAAATCTTATGATTTTTTTAGGTTTGAATTAAAAATAATCTATTCTATTTTGAGAAATAATTATATTTTTTTTGAAGACAAAGCATAATTTTTTATTTTTTAAACTTGACACAATAATCCAACAACTAGATATTTTAAATAAAATAAGATTTTGGAACTAATATTGAAAGTTTTTTAGTGGCCTCAAAATATAGAAGATAGTCAAAGACTTTGTACACTCATGTAATATTTATTTAAGTTAAAAAAAAATTCTCATCATTGATTTTATAGACTTTATTAGCCATTATTTATTATCATAGTCTTTTGTTTCTATGGATTTTATCATAGATCTCTTAATCTCAAGTTTGTATGATTTTATATTTGTGATAGTAGATCATTTTGTCAAGATGGTACATTTTATACCATGTACAAAATTTTATTAGTAGTGAAAAAATCGCTAAGTTTTTTCTTAATAATATCTATTATTATCATAGATTATCTTAGAATATTATATCAAATAGAGAGACTCAATTTGTATCAAGATTTTAAAGATAGATTTAAAACTATACTAGATTTTTCATCCTCAAACCAATAAACAAACATATATAAGGATTTAGAATATTTTTATTACATTTTGGATGCTCTTTGGTACTTAGGACTCATTTGTTGATGTAATTATTCTTATAGGGACAAATTTATATATATATATATATATATATATATATATATATATAAAAAAAATTAGTGCTTTTCTATCTTGAGACTTGATTGAATAATTAGTGATAGTTAAAAGCCTAACAATTTCTTAAGGCAAATTCTCACTATCTCAATAATAGATGTCTATTGCAAGAAGCAACTTTAATTCTACGTTGGCAATAAGATATGATTACTTTGTCATAATATCAAGACTAATTGCCCTTGTAACAAGTTCGATAACCATAGGCTTAAATCATTTTTTATTTGTGAACTAATCAATCCAGTTACTTATTAATTATATTTATCAAAGTCTATAAAGATCTATTTTGTATTTCATATGTCTCATCTTAAATCATATAAGATAATAAATATCTAGGAACAAAAAGAAATGCGGTTTCTTCCTATAAAAGTGGATAATAATCAAGAATTTAAACTAGAAGGAGTCTTGGATTTAAAATAATACTAAAATAAGTTAGAATATTTTGTTCACTATTACAAATATTATATTAATAAATATATGTAGAAATTAGCTAAGAATCTTGAAAATAAAAGAAAGAAGGTTGATGCTTTTTATTGACAAAATTTATCAAAATCAAGATGAAAAATAGCAAATCTTAATTGTAAATAAAATTTAGTTTAGAAAAGATAGCATTTAACCTTTTATCTTTGTTTGTAGTTTACATGTTTTTGTAGAACTAAGGAGATGAAAAATCAACAACCAATAGATTCAATTCAAGAACTATCATTTGCTAATTTATTAGATAAGATATTGCCATTATCATAGCCTTTAAGATAATGTGATTGAAATAAAGACCTCTAAGAATGAAAAATTCTTCTTTAAATAGATGTAGAGATATAATGTATTTGATATTATGACCTTAGAAGAGATTCTCAATGTTTGGTGAATTTATTGGAGGTAGAAACAACTCTTGATGGTCTTACAAATGTTTTATTTGAAGGAAGTTATAAAGGCATCAACAACAATCAAATAACAAGGTGAACTTTGATCTCTAAAATGAAACAATATCAATGGCTAAAAGGACCTATCAACCACCTTTACAAAAAACAAAAATCAAAGTATGTGGAAAATATAATTTGCTATATCTTAGATTTCTTCAACATATGATGACTGTTGCTCATACAATTCATTTGTATAAGGGGAGATAATATTACAAACATACATATTTATCTAAATAAGAAGTGTTATGTAAAAGATAAATATAAACAAAATAGATATTACCTTGTAACAAAACTTTTTAGAAGCTTTATAGATGTATATTTGAATTTATATATATTTATAGTTGATTGATAGGTTAGAAACTTAACCAATAAGTTAGTCATGTGTTATATGCATCGATAGCTTGTGGTACAAGCTAACAATATGACAAGCATATCAAAAACTTATCTTATAAGTTAAAACATATGTCTTGTTGTATGCTAATTATGGTTATCATTCATAATTTGATATTTATATCTTTTTAAAAATTAATAATTCTACAATAAAAGATATGACAAATTATTTATTAGAGCTATATGCAAGAATACAAGAAATAAAAGTAGTGTCAACATAGATGCTTATCACAAGAAACAAATTCAATTACATGTTATCAATAAAATATGGTTATTTTATTATAATATCAAGACTATTTTTTTTATAATAATTTTAATTTTTATAAAGTTATTTTTTTTAAACAAATCAATCCAATTACATATTATTACACCTTTTATTTCAACAAGTTCTGTCATAACAACACAATAGAAAAAAAGATGTTTAATATCACTTAAAAAAAGTTGAAGAGAGGACGCAAAAATAAAGAAAATTTTAAGAAAAATATTAATTAAAAAGTGAATAATCCACATTTTTTAATATGCTCATGTCTTATCAAAAAGAAATTCTAATCTACTCTTATTTTTTTTATTTTTTTTTAAAAAAAATTGATATAGTAAGTGTACTCTTATTAATTTGTTAAGGACAAGAACTTAAAGAATATAATTAAATAAGTGAACTTTGTTGCAAAGAAAGATGATATAAAAAGTTTGATAAAAGTAGATTCACATTTTTCAAGGCCCCTTGTCCCTCCAAGGGTGAGAGGTTACAGAAGGATCTACAGCATTTTAATTCCACGTCTGTAAAAGTTCAGTCCTGTAAGTACCGCTTCTAAACAGCTTGATCCCACACAGAGCCCAACTCTCATAAAACACAAATTGAGGACAAGGTATGGTCGAGTAATGACAGATCAAGTCGACAAATCCTGAAATGATAACGATCAAGAATTCAACCTACCTTGTCCTCACTTAAGAGGAAATTCAAAAAGCGCCTGTATGGATAGTGAAAGAAAATGAAAGCTGCAAGGAAATATGGACAAACTTCATAAAAAAACACCACACAAATGTACTCGCAACATGCACGAAACAAACATTTCAATCCTTTTGACAGTGTGGGTATGAGTAAAATAAGACGGGTCCTTCAATTTTGCAACTACATATTGTGACTAAGAAAAAAATAGCCCCGGACGCAACAAAAAGAACCGTACGAAACAATATCACCTGTCACAAGAGTGGCAATGGAGTCTTCCAACCAAAACTTTATATTACAGATGAAGATAAACGCCTAACGTCAGAGAGAATACAACAGACAGGCTTGCACGTCTGAGAAAGTACAGAATAGTCAAAGCTGAATGAACACTTGATCGAAGCTTTCTACATTATCTACCTAGACTTAATTTCTACCATTTGAAGGCAGTAACATGTAGTATACAGCAAAATGCAGGCAAAACAATTTGCGAATAAATGGAAGCCCTTGATAGACAGCTCTGACATCTACATCATGGTTGAAGACTCCTCCTTAAAAAGCACGTTTCTTTTTGACTGCACTTTGTTTTGGATACGTGCAGACCGTCTCACTGCTGACCCTGCAATTCCATAATCATTCAGATTTCGTTCTTGGGAAAGAAGCCATTAAATCACTGTACAAACTCATAAAAACGAAACATATCTGATCGATTGACAGCGTAAGCTAAATGGTATGCTGTGCTTCCATCCATAGAAAATTGGTGGAACAAATGAGATTTATTTACCTGGCGTCCGGAAACCAGTGGTGCTGGTGTCAGCATCCTGTTCACTCTGTACAAAAAAATTATATCAATACCATTCAAGAAGAGCCGACGACCGTCAATAGTTAAGACTTATTCTCGGTATTATGAAATTGCCGTAGAAATCACTTAATCATAGTAATGCACGGAAAATGTTTACACTAAAAAAGAAGTAGCGGATGATTGCATCTCAGATAGGATTGCTATGAACACACCTCGCCTGGATACTTGGGCTTCGGAGAGGGCTTCAGTTCTCCACATCCCTCGTTCTGCTCTTCTTTTGATACAGCCTGCTTCCGCGCAGATGATCTCGTCATTCTCATGTAGCCTGCAAACAAAGAAAATCCGATAAGTACAATGCAGGAATAAATGCCATAAACCGATCTCGCATCAACACAACATGTAGTTGACCAGTTCCAAAAATACAGATCAGATGTATGCATCATGTCCATCCCCTATCTGTGAGTGTCCAGAAGAGGGTAGACGCAAGTGAGAGTCATCCTGAAAGATACAGAAGCGAACATGACTCACTTTTTGCTGGGCTGCACGTAGAGCTCACGCACTTGTCTACTGCACCAAAAGTCCCATTCTCAGGATCCCTATTCTGGTTCCCCATCTGAGCCTCCAGATACTCAGACAAAGGACTCACCACCTCTGGCAACTGAGCAGCCAGAAGATCCTTCAGCTTCGACCCCTTCATTTCCCGCTCTACTACTGCTATCCATGAAGGTTTCGGAAGATTCATTCGCGGAGTCACTTCTCTGTATCCCCGGGATACGCGCTGACTCTTCGCATTCGACGAGTGCGACGATGGACTGCCACCATTATCCCCAAAGGGTGAGCACGCGACAACCCCATCAAATGGACCTCTAGGTGTCATGTACCCTACGCTGCTCGCTCTGCGATGTCCAGCTCTCGGAATCACACCATTGCCAGACTCACGTGGAGTAGCGGCACTTGGAGTGGCGGGGATGGGAACGGTATCACCTTTCAATGTCTTGCGCCTCGAGGAAACCTTCACAGGGGTAGTCACAGGAGCATTAAAGCCATTGTTTTGCGCAGTATTTGGCTCTGCCACGACAATAGTCTCTGACCCAACTGGAGTTTCCGAAGGATTTGTGTCAATAACACTTTCAACAGGAGACTCCAACTCACGCACTTCATCCTTCACAGTCTGTTGATAGGTCAAGTGTTAGAGAAGGCCCTCCTGCAAATAATTTGTAAACATTGCACATTCTACACCTCTGACACCCACGAAAGCTGGGCATCCAGTTGTTGGAAGATTTAAACGTGAAATATGAAACTAACGAAAATCAGCAGATTTGAATGGTGGGTTGTTCCCAGTCAATCACCTGACTGAAATACCCATTTGCGCCAGTGCTCTGCTTGGGTTCATCAATTTCTGCAAAAGTAGTACAAGAAAGACGTGAAAATAAAATTTTAACCACCCTGCGTGACTAAGAACAAAAACCTCGTTAGGAGATTTCAACAGAATTTTTAAAATATAGTAGAGTAATCGTAGTGCGCTTTAAAGACGTTAGTAAGTGTGAGGTAATCGACAGAAGGTCGATGCCAGGATAAAACAAGAAAACATGCGGGGATAATTCTGATGAGTACCTTTATCCTCCACAATCTCTTCAGAACCGGAAAGAGAGTTTTCTTCTGGCGTTGAAGTGACACCTCCGCTCTCTGCCAACACTGTAAACAACTTGACCTTGTCTACTACACTCAGAAGTGATCGTTCCCCTCCGCAGCGAACGTTCAGAATAGCAGCATCCGCGCTCAAAGTATGTTTGTGGGACCGACTCGGTTTCTCTGCAAACGGCGTCGTAGACAGGTTTCCGGAGCCCTGCCAGCTTTTCCTTCTCCTGTGAGGCCCATCACTTAAGGGACTCTCACTCACCTCGGCGGCTTTGGGAGGCAGAGAGTGCGAAACCACCTCACTGGTCAAAGCATCCACCTCGATCTGCTTCACCTCTGTCCGTGCCGATTGAATTTCCGGGGAGCACATTGCAGGTGACTCAACATCTAGCCACTCAGACAAGGAATCCACTGGCTTGTCTGCATTGCCATTCGCTACTGGAGATTCGGGTCCAGGTCCCGCCTCAGCGACTGAAATGCAGCTGCTAATCGCAGATTCCGATTCCAAGCAAAACAAACTGCCTGGCTTAGGTACCATATCGACGATGTTAGAGGCCACATCGATATTTGATGTAGCTATCTCGTCTAAATTTGACGATGGAGATGCAAGGTCAGTCACCAAAGTAGGAAGGGTCTCAGATACTTCAATGTCTCCCTGTGATTGAACTTCAAACTTGCTACGAGACTTGGGGGTAGTATTGACCTCAGCAACACTCGCCTGAAAAAAAGGTTCGAGATCAAGACACTCATCTAAAATAGAATACCACCAACAGCAAGCAAGAAACATGAGGAAAAAATCAAATGCAAGGAGGTCAACGTTGGAATATAGCACGAACAAAACGCCACAAAGGCGAACCATAACAAACCACCCCTGCAGAGAAATCCACCAACAATGATCATTACTTACAAGGGATGGCTTCGGTGACTCCGAAGCACAAGGTCGACCAGAATCCCCAGCATTCCCTGGTCAACTCGGATCAACAAAACAAGGATAATTATGAGACAATCTCAGTAAACAGACATCACAACCATAAAGAGAGGAAATGGAATACAAATACAAGAGGTCACCAAAGGACATATTTCTCGACTACACTGTGTAGAACCGAAAATAAACCCAATGCGATTCCCTTTTCAAACTAGAGGAAAAAATTTTTAAAATAAAATAAAAAACTAACAGCCAAACTATGCAAAAATAAAAAGAAAGTGAAAGCGGAAACAAAAAAACGGAAAAAACAAAAACAAAACAAAACAAAAAAAAAACAAACAAACCAAAAAAAAAAAAAAAAAAAAAAAAAAAAAAAAAAAAAGAACAAATCAAAACAAAACAAACAAACAAAACCACCGCTACAACCACCAACACTACGACCACCACAACTACCATCCAGAACGAAACACTCTCATAAACAACACAGTTCGGAACAGACTAGATGAGATGAAGGAAATGCTGAACCTTGAGATGCTAACAACTCCAAAGTCTACTCCAAATTCCGATCACCAATGACGACTCACCAATCCTATAGTCAGACTACATCGGGTTACATGGTCATGTAAGGCGACTCAAACGGCTTAACGGACTTACCAGGAGAGTGAGCTACGGCTTGCGATGCTAAAAACTCCAAAGTCTTCTCCAATTTCCGACCATACTCTGCTTTCGCATGCACCGATTTCGAGTTCGGGTCCACAACAGAAAAAGTTGCTGACCTCGCCAACATCCTCCCCATAAAATGTGGACGCTTCGCTGCCACATCCTTCGTCACCGCGCCGCCGTTCTCACTAACAACTGGTGCGACGATTGTGATCTTGCTCACACACTGCCACAAACCCATCCCGCGGTTCACAACACAACTCAAACGTACTCACACCAACATCCTCTACTTTTCATCATCCAACTATGCCCTGCTGCTTTGCAACCTTCAATGCTTACGCCTTTACAGCCCCTTCAACAACGTTTTACTTCAAATCCTGCTCTTGCGGCCCCCACCTTCACTTCTCATTCCCTACTTCCTGCATCCACTTCCACTCTTTCCGTGCACACTCCTACTCCTTCCCCATAATCTACCCGCATCCACAATCGTATCAAGTCATCCCACACCACACAAACACCTCATCCCGCCTGCACTATACACTCTCATCGCACTGTCCAAGCCCTCACCTCGCCCATTCCAACTATTCAGATCACCAACCACCCAAACGCACTCACACTTCCACGCAGCGCCACGCTCATGGAGGGTAAGGAACTCACAGCTGCACCACTATCACCGTTACTCAACACTGCCGCACTCCCATTTGATTCCTCTGATATCGACTCCCCTTCTTCGCCTCCTTCGATCGTCGTCGACGACACCGACACTCCTGCCACTCCCTCGCATTCCTCCACAAGCTGCTGCACGACCTCGTCGCTTGGGTGACCCTCTCCATACCGCTTCAGCTCCACCTTCACCATTTCCCGGGGCTGCATCAAACATCCCCCCGCTGCAATTCATCAGTCACCTCTGCACCACAATCACCCATCACATGCGCATTCAACATGCCACCCCTCGCTCCAACCTCTCCTCCCCCCCCCAATCAGCACCAACGCACCTCCGCTTTCAACCTCACGGCCACCCGTAACAAGTCTACCACCACGTCGTTCTTCTTCTCGCCCTCTGCGAGCTTGATCAGATGCACCCAGTGAGCTGCAGAATACAGCACAGACACACTCCCTGCTGCAGACGCCTCCGCTGGGCCCCGAACCGAACCGTTCTTCGAGCACCAGCATCCTCCCTTGTCCAACGAATACACCCGCGGAGCTCGCGCCGCCACTTGGCTCTTCTGTTCCACCATGCTCGTTTTCGTGCCCACTCGAGGTCGTTTCGCACCCAGAGAGCTGCTGTTCGCTGCCACCTTCTTGGCAGACGTGTCCGCCTTCGGCTCCCTTACAGAAGCGGAAAACACCATGGCAGGTTGAGAAGAATTCAGACTGTCTCCCGAAGGCTTCCTCTGATGACTTGGAGCTGCCCTTCCTGTGATAACCACCGGAAGTTCACTCAGTGACCACCACGGACGGTAACAACCTCCAATCATGTGAAGATCGCATCACATGTAAGCTGAAACCGCTGAACTATGCTACTCCAGATCCTAAGGTCATCCGTTGCTGGACACCATCATTCAACCGTAACACACGGTAGTGAGGAGGCTATAAGTAATGTACCTGTAATGAAAGGCAGCTTCGTCATGTTTGCTTGGCCAGTCTGCGGCTTATCCGCGGTGGTGGAGAGGTTTTTCTTCGAAGCGAGGGGAGCAGCGTATCGAGATGGCACAGCTGAGAACTGCTTCAGTAGGCGCGTTACATTTCGACCATCCGCGGTGCTCTTTGCTGTTGAGAGGTGATCCTGGCTGAAACGCACCAGAACCGAGGTTGAGGCTGAAACTAGGAGCAATTCGTAACAAATCGAAATGTAACTCCACATACCTCTGCACACTCAGACGGATTGCGCATCTACCTGGAATGAAACTGTTTGGATTGAGAGAGTACCTCTTGTTAAGACCGTTCGCGCGACCATTGACGTCCTGCAGGGCTCGTTCCTGGCGATAACTGAAAGTAGCTGCTCGCCTCAGAGTTGGACCTGCATGCAGAAGCACCTCTGATTAGGCATGTTTATGAAAAGCTTGCAAACATAGTTGTCCTTGCGAATTGAGATTAGATAAGGTCAGAATCACCTCCCCGCCATGACGAGCACCCCAAGCAGATGAAATTGCGCATACAGAGAAAATGCGATGTTCGCATTTAGCACTGAAAGTGACATCGGTAGGATCCGGAACGTTACCTCACTTCATCGAATTTCCCTCTGTGACGTGGAGGGGGGAAGAAGCTATTTTTCTAAATGTTTAGCCATGATGTTGGAGAATGCGAGTGTGCAAGTTAATTGAGCCTCATCTTTGACCATTACCTATCCCAGTGCATCTTAACAGGTATGGCGTTTTAGGTGTTCGATTCGAACCTTTCCTTGGAGAGTGATACGGTATTATCAAGAATGCGCCGGGCGACCTGACAGCTTGTATACTGTTTCGTAATTCTAGTTTACATCTATACATTTAGGGTGAGTAATTAGCAGTAAGCTCTGCACTGAACTGCTCCAAGTACACGAGGTACCACAATGGTTACATCGTAAATGATATTAGTAGGAGACTTCAGATGAGGCTGACTGCGGTAAGGATAAGTCAACGAATGCTTGATGCATCAAGTCAGTGCTGAGAGACACACGGCATTGCAATGTGGAATGAAGGCGGTAGATGTAATGAGGATGTCCTTACCTGCGGGCAATACTGGAGGCTCCATGGGACCACACCGACTTCGTGACGGCCTTCTTCAACTCCTTTCAGCAGTTGGCTTTCCTGTACAACAGCTTCACAATGTTCAAACGATCGCGCCACGCCACAATCCGGAATGACGCACTCACGTGCTCCAAACACAATTGCTGATACTGTACAACTGAGAAAGGAAACCTACACCTTATCCAGTAGACGAACACACTCTTCACACTCTCAATACATCTCACACCACTTTCTGCTCGCTAATAGCCTGCCGGTACAAATCCCTTCAAAAGAAAACCTAATGGCAGTCCTCAAAATTCCACCAACGCCACGGCCACTCACCTACCAACACGGAGACGAAGGTGTACACTGAACCAGCTACATTACATCAAAACTGCGCATCCACTACATTCCTCGCATGCTACCAGACACTACTACAGAAGACGCAAAGAGCGCTGAAGCTTCGCTATGCCGGGGGGGGGGGAGGAGATGCTGGCCTTCTCAGCACGCCATGCCCTCACAGACGTTGGAGCAGGGTGGCCATGGCGGGCTCCCATGCGTACGAAACGGCGCGGTTCACATCCACGTCCCTAGATTTGAATTCCGCGTCCGAAACTAGTGGTTTCATCGGAGTTCGGTCAGTTTAATCAATCATTCGGAGGCGCGTTTTCCCAAGTTTCCTCCAAACGGCCTAAATTCTGAGTAACTTTTCGGTTTGTCACATACTATGATTGCCAATCAGGTATTTTCCAAGCAACCTCGAGAATAATTTTAGTATGCTGGAGTGGGGGAGCGCACTGCCTTGACAATTTGAAGCTCCTCTGTTTTGAATTCCAGGTGTGTCCGAATATGGTAGATTTCTCATTGAAACGTATGAACTCTTGACGGAAATTTTAAGTGCATTGAAATACTGTAGCAACATTGGCGAAAACAGATATGCCTCAGTCTCTCTACTCGAGCAGAAGAAATGACGCGGTGGTCAGTCAACTGTTTCTTACATCCGTGCAGTCTGCGAGTTGAAGGCCTTCTGTTTGCGCTGCCCGAACCCTGTCTAGTGTCTGCAATAGACTTGGTTTTCCAGAATTGTGTGGCAAGTCATGCTGGCACTTCAACGGAAACCTTATCCTGAGTTCAATAAGCTTGGTGTTACTTCCCCTGTGCGGCTGAGGAGCGAGACGGGAGTTAAGGTTTTGAGGTTTACACGAAGTTAGAACCATGTCGCTCCACGCCATGTTCAGTCAACAAGATGCACAAGCTTAGTCAGTTACATGTAGATTTACAAGCCTTCACTAATTTTGTAAGACTGAGAATCGCCGGGCCTGTTCACCTAGGTGCTCACAGTTTCCTGCCGTTGTACATCCTCAGAATCCATCTTTGCGAGGAACATCAACCTTTACGAAGGACGTCTGAACGTGAAGAAATCTGAAGCAGTTGAAGTGCAGTTACAAACGAATACGATCTGAAAACGGCGTTAGAGAGTCATCTCTTCAAACACAGCACCATGGTACGATTGTTCCCAGCTGAGACGCCCGAAAGCTGTATAAATCACCTGCACCGTGAGGTTCACCTGCACCGTGAAGTTCACCTGTTGTTCATCATATAAAAACTCGATGCACGTCTGTGGATTAAATGTGAATTCAGAGAGTATCTAACAGGTCTTGACATTGAATTCATATTACAAATGTCACATTCGAAGCACAAGTTGGACTCAAAGACGCAGCAATGCACTATTCCGGCTCTGGCGCCGCCAACAATCAGCGGCACTGGTTTCGTTCTAAGGTGTCATTTCTTAGCATGCCATTCGATCTATGTAAGTTCGTATGTTATTATATGATGCTTCCGTTTTTTTTTTTTTTTTTTTTTTTTTTTTTCAGAATGCTTGAAGGTGTTTTTCTAGAATTCTTGAAAATGTAGTTTATTCATTATTACTAAAAAAATCAAAGTGTAATGTTAAAGCACTGCAGTTTCTGAAATCTTTAAGATAAATAATTGCTTCTATCCAGTGACATGTCATTTTGTACAGTTCTAATTAAAGAGTTAATCTTTTACCATATTGGTAATTATTCATTTAGTATTATTACTATTGTTATTTATCTAAGAAATGACAGCATTAAAACAAATTGGTTTTCAATAATCAACAAAGTTCGAGTATATGGTTATTAAAGTTGAAATTTCGTTAAATGTCCAAAAACACAAGATTTTGTATCGATGAACTAAAACATACATAATAAATTTAAAAATTAAACAGTTTTCTTTTTGCTGTAAACTTCTGTAAATATTAATAAACTTAAATTTTATGTCATAAATTATAATAAATACAATTTAACAGAACAACAGAGAAAAGAAGAAAAGAAGAGTATTGTATGTACTTTTTGCAGAGTATTGCTACAACTTAATACACTTAGATGACATAAATGACAACCGATGATGAATATTTATCAAAAGGCTACAAATGTGTTATATGAACTTCTACCTTAAGTAAGAAAAAAAAATTATGTGCTTCTCAAAATAAGATGTGTTCATAAATATTTTAAATTTATAGGATTAAACCAATCTTAGATTAATCAATTAAAAAAATAAAAAATAAAAAATAAAAAACATTGGGTATATTTAAAAATTAAAATTTCTCAAAAAGAATTTGGTAATAGTCTATCATATTTTAAAATAAACATAATATTTACTTTAAATTCATATACCAAATCAATTGTCCAATTAAAGTCTTTAATAATATATATATGAAATTTTTATTATATTACATAAAAAATATAAATTATATTTATCTATATGTATGTATGTAAAATCTAATGTTTTCAATAAAAAAATATTAATTTCAAACATCATTATGCATTTTAAAATTTATTATAATACATTTGTATATCTAAAAAATATAAAAAAATATCTTTCTTGATATTTTTAATTGAATATTTTTATCTTGGAGTATTTAAATCAAATCCATGATAGATAATTTATTCAAGGACACAATTTTATTTGGTCTAATGCAATTAATACAAGTAAAATTATTACAAGTGGTGCAACTAATAGGAAATTTTTAAAACTAGAAAATAACTTAATTTTTATTTGTAGGATATATGTATATATATATATATATATATATATAGATATATATATATATATATAATCTACTATTACAACTTTTAGACTAAAGAATAATATAATAAATGTTTAATATGTTTTGACAATATTTATAGATTCATATATTGAGTAGCAATTTTTACTTAATACTTACATAAAATTGATTTATTTATTTATTTTAAACATAACAAGGTTAAATCCAATGTAAGTTTGTCATAGAAAATATTTTTATTTAATAGTTGGAATTTCAATTGTGATTTGAATTGCCAATCTATTTTTAATTATAGTTATGTTCTAGATCCAACATGCCCATATCTACTATTTTAAAGTCATTGCAAACCAATTATTTCAAAGTTGCAAGCAAAAATTTCATAAAAAATTAGTCTAATATTTGTAAATGAATAATACTTTCTAAAATTACTTTGACATAATTTTTTATTTTAATTTTTAAAGATAGTATTTCTAATTTACATTACATACAATAGATAGTTTATCTACTTTAGAAAACACTTATTTAAGATAAATATTATTAGAGGTTGAAAATATTTGAGATTGCTTATTTAAAAAGAAAGTACAAAACTATAGTCAAGCAATAATACAAACAAAACTATAGATACACAATAATTCATGTGTTTAGTGAAACTAGAAACCAACAAGAAACAAAACACCTAAACATAATTTTAAGAACACTTTAAATTATTATGAATATCATAATCATCTAAAGATTGCATTTAACTAATTAAAAATGAACACATATTTTATAACCACATATACTAGAACAAAGCAATGACATGTATAATAAAAAAACATGACCAATTTACAAGAATATGTTGGAAAATTCGAATTTACATGTAAATTTAACTATGACAATAAGAATATTACAAAAGTTTCTTTTGAAGTTAGATCATATATCAATATCAAAGTTGGACATTTTTTTTAATGATATTTGAGATCACAATAATAGCCTACATTGTGTTGCTAACAAAGTTGATGTTTTGATTGAAAAAATGTTCTTCATATGTGCTCTTGTTACTAACCAAGAGTTTTTGTGACTGTAAATTTACAATTATTTAGAAACTTATTTGTAAGTTTGTATGGTATAACCAGTATAATGTGAAGAAAAATAAAAATAGACATTATTAGTGTTGGACATTTTTGTATGCAACTTTGACAAGCTAAACCCCTGCTTAAATTAGACCACATCTTGCCAGATGATTCTAATATTTTTAAGTAGGTAAGGAATATTACAGATAGTGGGAGGTATTCTGTTCACAATGATCATGTTCCATCCTGTGCGATGGAGCATCACTTTAAAAGAATGATCATTATTAAACTACTGTTTTAAATATATAACTGATCAAATGTGTGCATTACAAGACGAAACTTCAATCCAGAACAAAATCCAAACTTCATAATCAGAACCACAATCTCATGAACAACCCTCCTAATTAAATTCAAAGGAAAACAAACAAAGAAGAAAAAAACTCACACAACTTTTACACAGGAGAAGGTCCATGCACAGAAAATGTGAAATTGGGTCTCATTCATAGACACAATGGTAGCCAACTTCCACGACCGATGCAGTAATTCTAAAATTTGACTGGCATACAACGTCAACCTTTGCATTCTGACAGTTCGGGGACTCATATCGAACTGCTGACGCCATCGATGCATGGATTTCTGGTGTTTCATGATTTGGCCGGGGCACACACAAACAGCACAAGGCTGTATTTTTCCAGCTGGGAAAGCGCTGCGACACCTGGGACGAGGAGGGGAGTAGCTAGATAATCCGGTTCCGTGTTGGTGGACAGTTTTTGGAGAGCTTCGGCATATTTATAGCTAGTTCTCGTCGACCACAACTGGACTGCCCAGAAGTGCGGATTCAGTCATGACAAAGGAACTGTCTATTCTTGTGAAAGGGGAGGAGACTTCTGGGACCGATGAGTGAGCTCACCTTCTCCGACATGCGGCTCGTGGAGATTTGCGAAGCTGTTGTCCTACATTGACACCGCCCATAATTATCGGCTCTTTCATCGGCTTCCAGTGACGCCGAGCGGCTTAATAAATCTCTATATGGTTCGTCCTAGTCGCTGGGTTACCCGTAGTGGAAAGGATCTTGACAGCGCTCAACGATGCGAATTTGATGATTCGTTAGTGGTAACTGGGTGTTGCGGTGCAATTGTGCTCTTCCGCCGGACACTCCTGAAATTACCGCATCTATTTTGTACCCAGCTATCCAGAATCGTGGAGCTCTTTCGGGTTCTACCAGCTGTCTCAGGGTTAACACCATAGTTGCTCCAAAGTCTCTTTTTTCATTCAATGCACTGGGGCGCGGGTCTAGATTGGTGAGTTTTCGACGCATTTCGTGTGGACTCGGTTGTTGGATGTAGTGCTCTGAAATGCGGCTCCATTCGGATTCTCGTTAGGGACTCTTGCGTATTATCAGACTATGCAGATGGGTAGAGATTGCAGAATATTGTAATTCTGCCAGTTGCGGTGACAATCTCAATTGTGGTCGAGAGAGAAGGTGTTCGAGGGCAGAACATAATTTGTTGTTAGAATCTCGGAGTCTTCGTACCATTTGCGGGGGAATCGTAAAACATTCTTGAGGTTAATCTGCACTGTTAGGGAATGTAGTTTCATCAATGTTGCGCCTCCCGTTCAGCAGGTTCTTTCAGTGAAGTTTGGAGTTCTACACGTTTTGCCCTTGTTACGAATATTTGGACAACATGAGAAGAGACAAGCACCTGCGCTTGTTGGTCACATATATTATATTTTTGCTGGCTGCGAATTCGTTCAGTAGTTTGTTGGGTGAAGCTGCTTCCGAGAAGAATACGAAGAAAGGCGGTGATCAAAATGGTGATCAGAATGTAGCGGCTGTGCCTCCAGCCCAGGCCTCGAAACTGAGATATAATCACTATAGGACGACTAGATGCTCAAAAGTAGAGTCTGTAGTGACAACTGAAGTTACCAAGAGGTCCAAACGAGACCCTACTTTAATTGCTGCTCTGCTTCGCTTGTTCTTCCACGATTGCTTTGCCAACGTAAGTGCGTTTTCTACCTGATGCAATCTGCATTTAAGAGGTATTGTCGTTGTTATTATGAGTTGGATAAATTTTCAGTGATAAGCTTGCCCTCAAATTGTATTCAAACTGAATTTTCACCGTCAATTGACTCATTTAATTAGGAAATAGTGAGGAATTGATAATTATTTGTGTTTTCCTGTACTTGCACTAATTTTGGATTCACGGAATGGATTATCAGAAACAATGTGATGCATCGCTACTGATTAAAAAAATGCCCAAAAACGAAAAAACGGAGTTGCATTCCGGTTCGAACGTCGGTATCAAAGGCCTCGCATTCATGGATTACCTCAAGACTAAAGTGGTGGAATCGTGCAATGGTTCGAATATAGTATCATGCGCCGATATACTTGCTCTTGCAGCCAGAGACGCTTACGTCCTGGTAAGTATTCACAACTGAATAGGTTACCAAGTGTCTCATTCCTTGCTGGACACATATCACATGCGGAACTGAGATGTTTTATACATTCTCACAGAAAACATTCTAACATGCAAGACTGACAGGCAAGCAAGCGTCCAGCGTATCCAGTACTGTTGGGACGACTCGATGGAATGGTGTCGCTCGTCAAGGATGCGGACTCCTTGCCTGGAGCTAGGACTCCCATAAATACTATTGTCTCTGTATTCAAGGACGCCGGATTCACTACGGAAGAGGCTGTGATCCTTTCAGGTAATCCATCTCTTCATGTGAAATTTGGACCCTGTGATGTACAGATTGCTGGGTGCAGATTGCATGAAAATGGATTGACATACTGGATCGTCATGTGACAAGTCTAGATGCATTTAATGCTTAGTGTCCAGGATCTAAACTGTCTGTATCGAAACCTAATATTGGATCTACGACCATCTGCAGGAGCACACACCATTGGGGAAGCCAAGTGCAAGTTTTTCAACGATCGTCTCCACAACTTTTTGAACACCAAGAAGCCCGACAGGACCATGGATCCGGCTCTTGTAGAGCAGCTGAAGAAGATCTGTCCCAACATGACAGCCAATTTAGAGAGCCCCGCATTCCTGGATCAAGGTACTCGCAGAGTGTTCGACAAGAGCTATTTCGTCCAGGTGACAAGACAAAGGGGTGTACTACAATCGGATCAAAACCTTTTCGCCAACGCAGCCACTAAACAATTCGTGACAGGTTTGGCCTCCGGGACGGAAGAAAACTTCTTGTCGAAATTCGAGAAGGCTATGGCCAAGCTTGGCAACCTGGGTGCTACCACGAATTACAAAGGCAACATTCGAAGAGTGTGTTCTGTTCTAAATTAGGCTAACAGATGCTGTAATTGAGCTAGAGGAGCACATCCATACGACCCCCGCTTAGGAAAACTACTGTCCATGCATACTTGAAACCCCACATATTCTTCTCAATTGTTGTCGGTAGCAAGTTCAATGTTCACACAAAGTTTAGTATTTCCAACACCTTTCACTGGACCTTGCACCTAAATGAATGGGGGTGAAGTGTTCCCATGCGCCATCGCTGAAAGCTCAAGTTGGTGTGCATGTGGGTAGTAATCCTCTTTTTGCATTGCAATTGCACGTTGCGATCAACTTCGATGCATCAAATTCTTTCATACCACGAAATGTTCACAAGGATATTACGTCGCATCTACTGTCCTTTGAAATTGAAGTTTTTGTTTTGATGCTTAATTTGTGTGTGAAAGAGTTATATGTAAAGTGAGAGTAATACAAAACGTGTCAAGTATAGTGATGGGTAATGAATGTATACAGTATTTGTAATAAATCTTAACGTTCAAAATAATTATTTCTAGAAGGTTCGATAGACCAAAGTAAATTGCTTGACTTACATCAAGTGTGTGTAAAACTTGCCATAGCTTCTAAGAAGGTTTGCAAGGTATGCAAATTTTTATTTTTAAATAGTATTATTTCCTATACAAATATAAAATTATAAAATAACATAGTATGTATTAAATTTTATGTATATTAGTCCAATTTGATATTTGTATATTTTTGCTATTATCAAATTAAAGAATAAAGAAGCAACCACCAAAATAATTTGTAATTTAAAAACATGTTTCAACTTAGACAAAGATTAATGGACTAACAATTTGAAGGTAATCAAAAATAAACCAAAGAACAATAATCACCAAAATAATATGGAAGCAATTGAAATGGCTAAAAAAATTATTAAAATTTCTAATAAATAATTCTGAACATAAAAATTTGATGCAAAAGAGTGTAGATTGCAATTAATTTTTACACTAGCTTATTAAAATAGACAATTTTTTAAAAAATCAGTTAAAATCTCCAACTGATCCGGCTTAAAATGACCATGACTATTACAAATGACATGCCAAATATATTGTTTTCACAACAATACATTAGTAGACACAACACAACATTAGCAAAAAAAAACATGTAACTTACTGTACAGTTTAACAACCTAAGTCGTTAATCATGGAAGTGGGTTCAAAACAAGAGGACATAGTAAGTATATATATTTCTCACACGTAGATTCAAATAGTTGAATGCATAAATCTCAACAAAATAGGACATGGGCTTCCCCCTCTCCGAGACGCGGCAGCATGGGATAGCGGCCAGGTACGAGAATTGCGAGGCTCAAGCGCCGCGAAGTTAGAAATTCATTCTGATTTTCTCGCTGCACCTGCTGCTGCTACAACTACTATGACGTGAAAGCAAGAGAATCGATTTTTATTTATTTATTTATTTATTTATGTGCATTTGGATGTCCTGTGAAGGAGGTCGGAGTTGAAAGAGGTCCGACGGTGCTCTGCGTCGGGGAAAGTTGTACAGACTCGCAGCAGCAGATGCAGCAGCGCATTTGGAAGGGGATCGGAGGGTCCGAGGCTCTGCTTTGCACAGCACCGCGATTTGCCATTGAGGAAACGCAAGGGGCGTTTGGGGGGCAGCAGGACTATTTATTGTCTGAGAGGGTGTTGTAAGTGGTGGAAGTTATAGAGTGGGAGGAGGGGGAGGAGGAGCAAGCACGACGTGAATTCTCCGGAATATGGGTACTCTCTCGGATGCCTTTGGTCTTCACCTCTCCACCGCCTCGGGGGACCCTGGTGGCTGCGGTATCCAACGAACGGTGGAACATATTTTCTCAAGAGACGTATGTGTGCTTTTTTCTTACTCTCGCTATTCAAGCATCTGACACTTTTTTGGATTACTACGATGTGTGGATGCGTTGAGGTGTGGCTGCATTGCTCCTGAAGAGTCACCTTGTGGATTTTCGTGTAAAGGGCAGTTATCCGCTAAATTAATGTTCTGACGCAGAAGCAAGCTGTTCATAGCCACTGCATAAATTGTAGACTGGGTGATCCGTTGCTGTGCTTGTGATGCACGAATATCATAGATACAATATCATGGGCTTCGTGTGGTTTTGGTTATTGCTGTCGCTCATTTCTGCTTCTTCTAGTGCTAGGACTCTGTCTACTCACAGAGCATTTACTCCTGTCAAGGTTATAAGCAGAATCTGCCCTCGACGTTCAAAGTAATGCAAAGAGTTGGTGATTTACGAAGGTGCAAATTACGGTTGAGTTTTTGTGTCGAGGATCGCCTTTCAACTTGATTGCATGTGATCGAATAAAATGGACCATGTCCTGTTCCTTGGATGACACGCAGTGAAGAGCTTGCGATTGTTTTTAATGTTTCTGGAGGATGCGGTGCACCATAAAAGATACGATTCTGATTGAGTGTGGATTGTGGTTCACTGCAGCGATGTAACGATGATGTGGAAACGCATCGCTGCATTCTGAACTTTCTCGCTATGCGCGAACTTTTCACCCATGAGGAAGTGGAACAGGCTTTAGTGATGCTCGGATGGAAGCCTATCACCAAACGAGGAGGTTGGCGCCGCTTCTTCAAAATTGAAGAGCCAAACTTGCCTCACGGTTTGCCTACAATAGCCAAACTGCCTGCGCGCTCTTTCGTGGATGCTCCGAAACACATGATTCTTGACTTCGTCAGAACTGTCAATAAGCGAGAAAATCGAAATGTGTTTTGCTGCTGGTGAGTTCCACAATCCAAAACTTGCCCCGAACATCTCATCTCAAACTCATCTGTAAATCGGAATCGGTCCTGCCAGTGTATGGCTGAATTTGGTTCTCGCAGATTTAGTACGTTTAAATGAAGAAAACGCGATGATAAAAACAACTTCATGATCTATGGAAGACTTCCTCTGACGGTTGGAAATGCTTCTTGAAAACAGGGAACACAGGGGAGCATTGTTAGTTTGTGCGGGAGATCGGTCGATTCTCAATTAGACTTCGTGTTAATTTTGTATATATTAGCTCCGAAGATCACCATTACATTTTAAGTTAATGTTGTAACAACGTGAAAGAACCATGGCCACGTTACGTTCTTACTTGAACTTAAAGATCTGTTCAAGAAGCTGTCTGATGGCCCGAGGAGGTAATGAGAACTTACTTGAGATGCCCATGTATAGTGAGTGTTGCGCTTCCCATCGTGTCAGAGAAAGAAGGTCAGTGTTATAATTCTAGCATACCCCCATAATCGTGACGGATTTCTTCACGGTTATTTTCCACTCTGTTGAGGGTAACGGAAATGATAACTCTTGATGATTCGTCGTTACCTTGTTTTTCACAGGGCTTCAGTTCGCCAGATGATTTGGAAATGATGAACAAAGGCACGCACACCTGATTGAAATGTTGAGTAGGTGTTTCTCTAAGGCCCATTGCCACCGAACCCATTCTGTCTTCACTTTGTAGTACATCGGTTGGGTATTGGAGAACTGTTACAGTTTTTCACTTATATGAATGCCACAGTGCTACGGAACATAGATGATTGTGGGTGGCGCCGATGATGCATGCACAGGAGTGCAGAAGCCGAGCGAAGACCAAATTTTGAAATGCAACGTTCTATCTTCTACTTCCACAGTTAGGGCAGTGAAACAGTTCAATACTGGCTTGAATTGCCACAGTTAGGATAGGCTTAAATTTCTGCAGTTCTGATATATGCTGAAATGTTCCAGTCGGTCGCTCTATTTTGTGAGCTACACACTCATAAATTACACTTTGAGGTGACGCTTGAACATTTTGTACGAAGGTTCTGTGAGTGTTCAAATTGAGATGCGGATCTGTACAGGAGAGAGTGAAGGCATTGATGAGAAGTTTCTGGATGATACAAAAAACTTCTAGAAAGATCATAGAGAAACCATGGATTACCACTATTGTAGTTGAATCAACCCAGTATGTGAGGCCAGTGCAAGCAGTCGTGCCCAGCCAGTGTAATGAAAAATGTGTCATTAAGCTAAAAGAATGTTTTACAGAAATATAGAAATCATTGTGGCATTTTGCAGATAATTAGCTACAATTTCTGATACTAAATATTAACCACGGACAAAACTATATGGTTTTACTATAAATGTTCGGGCTTCTGTGGGTGATCATGCACTTCTTACAATGGCAGGTCAAGTCCGTTCCCTACATCAATGCCAATCGCTTGCAGAATGCCCTTGTTGATGATCTGGTCACAGAAAAGCATATCATAAATCAGTCCGCGATCACAGACGCAAGCAGAAGAAACAACTGAAATTCATCATATACGAAGATTCTACACCATTTGCATCTTCAGCTATTTGTCTGTACATTCACATCCAACGGAACCCTGAAGATGCTGCCCTCCTGATACAACTGTGCAGCGAAGACACTACTGCAATAAGAATTTTACAAGCCCACAGCAGTGACAGTGCAGACCCAAAGAGGTGAACAGTTATCAACAAATCTACACGCATGATTCATCATCGCTACAGAATGCTTACATCAGAAATTTACATTCGAAACTTGAACAGGTAGACTGACCGATATCCGTGAAATATCAAAAATAAGAAAACAAAGATGGTCTCAAACTTACAGCTTCCACAATGATGACTCCAAAAATTCCAATCATAGATGCACGCGAGTTCCATACTTCGGCATTCCGGGTGAAACCCCAAAATGAAACGGGGAGCTTTGGTTCTTCTTTAGGTGTTGCAACCTGAAAGTCCACAAGAATTTGCCCCATGAAAAAAGAATCTAAGTCTATCAAACCTTCTCAATTTCAAACAACAGTCAGTGAAACTGTTTGCTAATTCACATAACTAGGGCTTTATGTTCGGTGTTCAAGTTTCAACAACATCGATGACCAATCAGAACTTCGTCGACTAGTAATGTTAATTTCAATGTGAGGAAATTCTATATTCTTGTGACACCAACAATACATCTTGAAGGCGGTCGATACGTACGACGAAGTAATTCTCCAGTTACTTTCGTTGCTGAGCAATTCTTTTGTAATAAACTTAGTTGTTACATTCCCAGATTCAAAGCATGCTTTACTACTCGCCAAGGTTACCAGCGTTATGTTCCAATTCTAATCCTAAAATATTAAACCGGCATGGCAGTATATCAAGGGAGGTAGGATAAGAATTGCGCACCCCTTGTGGTAGCTTGGCAGCTCTGATCGATGAGAAAAATCGCGTTGACGATTTGCCCACCTTAGGCATACCTAACAGATCATTCACACAGAATCAGTCGAAAATTGATTTTCACCGATGCCAATCCACCCAAAAATCACGAAGGCTCAACTTGGTGTAGCGGGATATCTCCGTCAACACCCACCCTGCAGCCTCGTGATGGATGAGTCCCGCAGGCCAGAGGAGCACAACCCGGTAACGGCTACAGCCTGAGGCGATATCGTCGTAGAAGCCATGACCATAACCTCAGAGTTCCTTCAAAAATTTCTAACTGCAGAAGGTTTCCAAGCAATCCGAAGGGAAAAGCAGAATACGGTCGCAAGCATTTGCGAAGAGTTGAATTCCATCCATGATGGCAACCACACATTCTTCTAGATAGATTTGGCTGCGTGGGTGAGGTCGAGGAGCCTACCTTGCCATGAGGCTAAAAGGTGACTGAGTTGGCGCGATGTGTATGGCTCTCCTGTTTCTTTCTCTTCATATATTCAATATACTGCAAAATCTCAAGAAAAAGTTGAAGTAATAAGGGCGGCGTTCAGTCTAATTGCTCTATAGCATCCTCCGAAACATACTGGAAAAATTTCATAGCACAGCGACAGATGTTGGAAAGAATCAAATGGCAGCGACCTAATTTTCCGAACAATGCTCGTCGAAAATCAAAATATCAGATCTCCCCTTAGTATCGAACTATCGTTACGAGATTCTGCAGGGACATGTTCGTGATGATTCCATTAGCAGCAAGTTGTGCACTTGCAAATGATCCGTAGGTACGATGCTTGCGGAGGCTGAGGGCACGCAATGCTCCAAGTATGTTGCATAAGTGAAACAGTTTCAACCCTGCTGTAGTTGACCATCACCACCGTGACGATTCGAGGCTGTCCTAAACACCACAGTCTGCCTTTGGTCACTGTTTGGACCAAACAATTCGCTTCGGGCGGACACTCCGTGACTCCGAACTGGGACGTTCATCCACGAGGACATCGGGACAGGGACAGGGCCTCTGTATAGAAAAAAATATTTAGAACTCACAATCTCTGCCGTCAAATGTGGAGTACAGCTCGCATCCTAAACCTGGTCGCACTTACTTAAATATATACAGATATGTAAATGTATTATATGATTTGTTCTTGTCAAGGGCCATTGAAGTTTGTTTCGGTGCAAATTTATTGTGATTCATTACATTCATGAAAATTATGCATTTAGGTTTCAGAGTAAGGGGTTTAGGATTTGAATAGTGGATTTAGGGGTCAACATGATTCTGTAGCTGCCATAGCACTTATCGAAGGTAAAGTTGTCGCATCCAATTCCTCTCGAAGCAAATCATTTCCTTCACAAATAAAACGTGTTAGCGCAATGGGAAGCAACAAATCCAACTTCGTAAGGCAGTTGCTCTTTACTTTGAATTGAAGTCGGTGGCTGGAGCGCGACGGGGCAATAAGAAGTAATTTCTTTGTCGCAGGATGTTTTAAATTAAGATTTGTGGGGAATCCGGAACGCTAGCTTCAAGGGGGGTGATGACGCAAGAGCCAGTTGCCCACGCTACATCATGTGGATTGTTTTTCGTGCTTCCGTAAGGCTGCCACTGATCTGCACCGCCATCGGATTGTTTACCCACACGTCTTTGAGCACACGGAAGCCTGTCTAAAGTTGTGGACTTATTGGATACGAGGTTCCAATCACGGAATCACTTATCTTTCATGCTTGCTACCTAGGCTTTACATCAGCATATTGTTATACGGATTGAATTGTCTATTGGGTCGATCACCATCGGGGTGCATCTCCAAGAGATCAATCGTGTGTAACTGGTTTTCGGTAAGCTTACGGATGGCGAGAGGTTGGAAGCTGTTTACATGACTTACCTGTGTAAAGTTTTTTTTTTGTTTTTTTTAATATATAGATTGTGTTCTGTTTACGGGTTCCCAAGTTGGTTGATTAAACAAACTTCAATAGGACTCTGTTTCTTGATGTGAATTCTGCAATAGTTGCGTTATGGGTCGTGAGATTCTGCGGTAATGGTGATTGTACTAACTGAGATCGGATCTATGATTGGCGTGGGGGGAGGAGTTGTGGAAGGGTGGAGGGTGGGGTGTTCAGTTTGATTGAAGAGATAGTTTTTCTTCTAAATTTTGAAATTGGGTAGCTTTCGTGGATGTCGAGTCGTTTGGTGAGGATGGATTGCTAATTTGGCAATCAAGTCATCGTCCTGTGAATTCTATGTTTTCTCTTAGCTAGAGGTGACAAGTCCTTCAACCGCCTGAAATTGCGATCGTTGGTTATCTAATTTTTTGTGGCTTTGTCTATTGGCAGTTTTTAGATTCTGCAGTACTTAAAAAGACAAGGAAGGGGGAGATGGAAGCTGATTCCGTGGCAATGGAGACCGCACAGAACAGGCGGATGCGCATCATGAACGCCCATCTACAGAGAAAGGCCCCGAGTATACATTCTAATTTGCTCAAATTGAGTCATCATTGGTCAATTTGATAGCAGTTTCGTAAGAATAGTTAGGTAATAGAGAGGTTGACGAGGAACACGTGTGACTTCTTCTCATAGATCCTGCGATATTTATGTAAGAGCGATGTTGAAGTTTTCAGAGGTGTTAGTTTCAAAAGTTGTAAAGAGGGACATTGGACGTTAGAGTCATGTCTGTAGGGAGAAAACTAGCTCTCCTGCGGAAATTGCTGAATACCTTATTCTTCGTACCGCGTTTCTTAACTTGGGTATGTCTGGAAGCAGAACTTCTCTTCTTTTGGAGTTCGAGTAGAATCAGAAATTTACCTGCAGAGATTAGTACTGCTGTTGCTATTTCCATTCATCATATACAATTAAGACCCACATCCCTTATTGAAGGCTTCAATTTAACATGAAGTTAGCCTAAATGTAGCTCTATTACATAGTTTTCAGGATTTTGTCCTCATTCAGCATTTTGGTTGGTAATTTGTGACTCATTAATGATGTCGCGTTTAGCATGATCCAGAACCTTGAGTATTTGTATGCTCATGACTTTCTTTTCTGCAGAGGACAGTCTACAACTGACCAGCCAAACAACTGCTGGTGAATTTCTAATAGGTATTTAAATTCGAGACGACTATGCCATCTCTCTTGGTTGTACAAGCACTTTTACGTTAGCTTCTGGCTGAAGGTTCCACCGTCGTCTGAGTTTGTGTCCTTTATCCTGTGTGCTTTGCCAGAGGAAGGATATAGCGTTAGGCTGCCAGAAAAATTGAGCTCCGGAAAATGGAACGTACATAGGTACGTGAAATGCCGACTTAATTATCACACAAAGTAGCCAGTTATGAAGCCAATTGCTCATGGCAAAAAGAGCAGTTACAAGATGATGCAGACGACTGGACCACTTTTTTCTTCAGTTAATCCTTTTTTGGATCTAAATAATTTCATTTTCTCAAATTTGTTTACATGGTTTCTATCTCTTCTGCACACTATGTTCTATTGATGAAGACTGTGTTTCTGGTTAGTCATATTATCTGTAAGTTGAGTTTATTCATGATTTGGATGTTTGGTCTCGTTTTTCTCAGATCAGCGATGTCCCCTCTTGAGCTTATGGATCATTGGCCCGAGCATCCCGAGATTCGAACCTTGCATGACAACTTTGTGTGAGCCATCTATATTTTTTGTTAGATTGGAGTCTTCACGACTATTTCATTTCTCTTTTTTGTTTTGAATTTTACATCGAGGGTGTTTCTTCTCCTTGCTTTCGAACAAGTTTGTAGGTGTTATTTGCTTGGAATAACGTGATTTTATGGAATAATTGAAGGTATGCGAAGGCGGCATTTCCAGAGAATAAATGTTTGGGAACTCGTATCCGAGAAGATGGCACAGTTGGCGAGTAATTTATATTACCCTTCATTCTAGTGCATTGCTGTAAAATTACTTTTTTGATTGTCGGAAAAAGTTGCTTGTTAGCTAGCTTTTGCATCTTAAACCTCTGAACTTGACCATGAAGTCGTTTGGGCCTGAAATGTCTTAAGCGCATTATGGTGTACAACGCAAATACATTACTCAATTTATTCTTCAAAGATCTTGCGACCTAATTTCTCATGCTGTGGACATCTGCACGTTCTGTAGATATAGGTGGATGACTTATGGAGAAGTAGGGACCGCGCGGACTGCAATTGGATCAGGACTTATTCAGCATGGCATCCCTAAGGTAAACACTTGTGGTTTTCGAGAACACCAAGATGCAACTTTCTAAAAGACTCTACGCAACCGACGCTTATAATTTTGATTTTTTAGTTGTGCAGGCTTTCGGAACAAGTGTAATTTAATTTTTACCATCCCATCCAACCATAAAGTATTCGTTTGTATTTTTAATCACTTTACTCAGAAAACGAACTACTGCCTCAATATTGCTGTATGTGGGAGATGCAGGGCGCATGTGTTGGGTTGTACATGCTTAATCGAGTTGAATGGGTCATCTCAGAATTAGCATGTTCTGCGTACTCTTATGTGTCTGTTCCTCTTTATGACACCCTTGGTAAGCTGCAAACTTGTTCAAACTCCAAGTACTACATTATATCTATCTGTGTGTTTGGCTTGATTATGTAATGTGTTGCGCTGACTAGGTCCCAGGGGTTTAAGTTACCAGTTACCAGGAAGAACACACTTTTATTACCGCTGGCCAGTAGAAGCTGGAGTTTGTCTCCTCCTATATTTCATTATTCACTGTCTTGAACTACAAGAATTGAATGTAGTAGTCAACTGAATCTGCAAGGCCAAGTTCGGTGAGGCAGCAAGCATGTTGTCACTATTGAGCTGGAATCAAATATTCTTCTGCATCACAGCACGTTCATCACAGTATTTCCCCATGTGCTACTTAAATGATTTAAACACATATTTTATTTATTTTTACTCATTTACAGGAGCGGATGCTGTGAAGTATATTGTCAGCCATGCGGAAGTTGCTGCTGTATTCTGCACCCCAGACAAGTTACAGACTGTGAGTTCTTTCTATTTACGTCTTATATTTGAATTCTAAATTCAATATTCCGTTAAGCAATCTACAAAAGGTCGGTTGAGAGTGAGTTATCTGATTTTGCTTGGAGGGATTGGAACAGGTCCTGAATTGCCTTTCAGAGCTCCCAAGTGTACGCCTCATTGTGGTGAGTTTTGCTAAATCTCACTTTCTTGACTTGATTTAAGCGATCTTTTGATTGAAGTGATCCTTTGATTTAAGTGATCATTGTGGCTAATTCTGATGCTGAGGGCACATTCTAAAAATATTTGTGTGCCTATTTGATAGTTCGCAATAATTAGTTTGTAGCAATGATGGTGGGTCAGTGTGATTCAGATGAGTTGGATGAGCCTTCGATGAATCTATCTGCAGTCTTCAGTTGTGACAGAGATCGTTATTACATAGCTTCTGCGAGACATCCCAGAAGCTTGAAATCACTTTGTATGGGCTTTCCTTTGTTTTACATGTAAAATGCTAAAGCTTAAGTCGTATGGTGTAGGTTGTAGGCGGTGCCGAGCATATAATGCCCTCGCACCCACCCCGGTCTGGAGTTGAAGTCGTGCCTTACTCTCGACTTGAAGCTCAGGTAAATTTTTATTTATTCTCTGTCTTAGGCTACCATGTTTGCAATGCCATGCATGTTCTATGTATGTCCTTTCAAGCAATTCTTGAAAATAATGTCTCTGTCCTCCAGTTTTGCATCAGAAACATCCAAAACCATTTGCAGAATCGTTACATGCTATTTTTTGTTTGGTTTTCATTTGCTGAGCTTTCTTAGTCTATAACTCATCATCAGATAGTGGTGTTTAAGATAACATGTCTTAATTTGTACAAGTTGCTGAAAATTCTCCTAGTAAAGATTTGAAAGAGAGGACTGAATTTTGGTATCTTGTATTTTCAACAGGGTAAAGCAGACCAGCGTGCATTTGTGGCACCAAAGCCACATGATCTAGCCACCATATGTTACACAAGTGGTACCACTGGTGTACCCAAGGTACGTGAATGAGAGCACCGGAATTTAAAAGTACTTCCGACTTAATATGTGTAGCAAACTTTTATTCAAATCTCATAGAATATCGGACAGATGGAATATGTGATCCATAAATGAGAAGTAATTGATTTTTAGAGTTTGGATACTCAAATTGAATGTGTAATTGATCTTCTTGGATTTCTAGACCTTTTTTTTCTTGTATTCAATCGTTCGTATGCTCTCATGCAAACCTCTCCAATTGAAGGTGGTCAAATTGTCTGGTTATGATGACATAGGGATGTCTTGTTTGTAGGTGTTCCGAAATATTGATGATACTGATCATGAATTTGATATGCCATCTGCTTTGTGTCCAGTATCATCTCGTGCTTTCTGCTAAGGTTTAGTGTACTGACATTAGTGACTTGAAATCAGGGAGCTATGTTATCTCATTACAGCCTTGTTGCAAGTGCTGCTGGAGCTAGTCAATCGACGCCCATCCTTCCTTCTGACGTGTAAGTTGACAACTTCTAACTTCTGTTTGATGATGCAGTTGAACAGTGAAGCACCAATACTTACATATATTCTTGTTTTTCTTGATTCCTCACAGACACATCTCGTATTTGCCACTAGCTCATATTTACGAGAGGATGAACGTACTTGTCATGCTCCATCACGGTGTGGCGGTTGGCTTCTATCAAGGAGTAAGGAACCATATTTCGTGTTTTCTATCTTCGCTCTTACTTTCGATGTTTTATTACTTGCTCACTAATATTTCTAGGGAATGTCAGCTGCGGTATGGTATTATTTTAACTGGGTATCTCACAGGATATATTGAAGCTGATGGATGATATAGAGACTCTGAAGCCTACAATTTTTGCAAGTGTTCCACGCCTTTACAATCGTATTTATGATAAGTGAGTGATTCATTTGGATGAGAACTGTGTTGTATCTCCTCAACCAAGATTTTCTGAATTTAGGCGAAATCTGGTGATTCACAAGTGCGGGATTTCGGCTATATATTTATCTATTTGTAAATATGTGTCTCTGGGTGTCCATTATTGGAACGTGATTCATTTAGTACAAAATGACAGATAGGAGGGAATGGGAGTACCTGCTTTGCTTTTGAGTATCATTTGATGTTTGTTGTTTGTGGGTAGAATCACTGGAACAGTGAGGGCTTCAGGTGGACTCCGTGAGAAGCTTTTCAATATTGCCTTCGAGTCAAAGAAACAGGCCCTCGAGAACGGTGAGATACTATTACAGTCTGTATATATGTTGACCTCTACATGGATTAACATTATCATCAAAAGCACATGGGGCTACGTTTATAATTTGCATACGAATTTTACTTCATTGGCTCTTAACATTGATTTTTCAACCAAGTAGGGTTCATACGCAAATTATTGCTATTCGCAGCCTGCTTGGATTTTTGTTGGCACTTTTGTTGTTTCGAAAAGGTTATTACGGATATTTTTTTTTCTGTCTTGCAGGCAAGTCTCCTTCACCTATCTGGGACCGGTTGGTTTTTAACAAAGTGAAGGCAGCTCTTGGAGGACGAGTTCGGATTATATTGTCAGGCGCATCACCAATATCTGCTGATGTCTTGGATTTCTTAAGAATGTGAGTATTTGTGGTCGTAATTTGTTTTTTGTTTTTTGTTTTTTTTTTTGTTTTTTGTTTTCTTTTTTCTTTTTTCTTTCTTTCTTCCTTTCTTTCTTTCCTTTCTTCTAAAAGCTGTTTATTCTGTTGAGTAGTTTCTGGATTAATATCCGCTTTTCTTCTTTTCTGATGTTCTGGTTAGAATTTTCGTGTAAATGTAAAAAATTGAACTTTGCTTTCGTTTGTTGTTCTAGTTCATCATTTCAGATTGTGTATCTGGCATGCAGATGTTTTGGTGGTTACGTTTCAGAAGGCTATGGCATGACGGAGACTTCTTGTCTTGTTTCTGGTACACGAGTGGGGGACAATACATCCGGTCACGTTGGAGCTCCAACCCCAGCTTGCGGTAAGTTTCCCGAAGGATTAATCTGTTTTAGTGATTTTTCGCTATTATTAAGATCAACTAACTTCTATGATGACTTGCAAATGTCCTTGTAGATGAAGATCAGCACACTGTTCTAATATTCACTTCTAGGATTAAATGAATTGGTGGCCTTATGTCTCAGAGGTGAAGCTTGCTGACGTTCCCGAGATGGAGTACACAGATAATGACAAGCCTTATCCTCGAGGAGAGATTTGTGTGAGAGGACCCATATTATTCAAAGGCTACTACAAAGACGAAGTTGAAACGTAGATTTCATGTTCTCTTCACGCGTCTTTGGATATACGTTGTCATACCTAAGTATCTTCGATGATTTGAATTGTGAACCTCTGACAGTTGACTCCAACGCATATTAATATCCTACTTTTTATTACTTAAGCTGATGTTCTTGTGAATTTCTTATTGTAGACGGGAAATTTTTGATGAAGAAGGATGGTTACATACTGGCGATATTGGGTGTTGGTTGCCAGGTGGTCGTCTCAAGATCATTGACAGGTACTTTCGAAAAGCATCGATCTTTGCTTAGAAAAGTTGATAATTTGTAATTACCGATAGTACATTTTTTGAGTACTAAATTTACGGTGTCCCATCAGTTTGATCTGGTTTGAAGACGAATGAAGTTTTATTCTTCTCTGAAACTGTAACTAGAAAAAATTATCTGGAAGTGGCAGTTCTTATGCTCATGTTTGTTTTGTATCCTTTAATCACTGTCTGCAGGAAGAAGAACATTTTCAAGTTAGCTCAAGGAGAATACATTGCACCGGAAAAGATTGAGAACATTTATCTTCGCAGTCGGTTTATTTCGCAGTGTTTCGTATATGGTGCGTTCATTTAATCGACGGTCGCATCTTTTTAATGATTGCACGTTACTTTTTCGTGTGACGGAAACGTGTAGCAACTGGTGTTACGTATACTGGAAAAACTACCAACTCATTGAAATCCAATCATTCTTACCAATCGTATAATTGGTTGGTGGTGAATTGCACAGGCGATAGTTTCAACGCCAACCTCGTAGCAGTTGCTGTTATTGATCCAGACACTCTACCTGCCTGGGCTAAATCAAGGGGTATTAAGGTAAGTATTCAAGGGGTTTTGCTTGGTCGTCTTCAAGAGTTGTCAAGATTTATATATCAAAATGCTTATGATTTGAATATAGGATGCTGATGTTTATATTGCACTGTAAATACGAATTGGTTATTCTTTGGATGGCAGTCAGTCCATCTGTAATTCTCAACCGGAAAGGTTGGCACTTTTTATAGACATGCAATGTTTTATTACCCTGACAAGAATATGACTGCGGACGTTTATTTTTTGTTGGTGGAAGCAGCATGCTGACAATTTGAAAGAGCTATGCGCTGATCCAGTCATACGAGCTGCAGTGCTTGCGGACATGGATGCTGCTGGTCGTGAAGCACAGGTTTGGCCTTAGACTTCTGCGATGTAGATTTTTCATGCATCATTTACCACAGTGGCAACAACGAATTAATGTCCTATCCCTCAGTTTTTGCTTCATCCTTTAGTTACGAACTGCTGCTACCCTAGCAGGTTCGTAGTCATCTAAACTGCCATTTTATCTGAAATTGAGGATCAGCTTATTAAGGGTTGTTTTCTTTTTTTCTTTTTTTCTGCAGCTGCGAGGGTTTGAGTTTGCCAAAGCAGTGAAATTGACAGCTGAGCCTTTCTCAATCGAAAATGGACTACTCACACCTACTCTTAAGGTAAATCTTGCCAATTTTTATCTCAAAACTCATTTTCTTGGAAGAGTTTCTACTTGCTTTTCCTTTTTCTTGTACTTCGACTAAAACATTTTCTTAGCAAGTGAAATCATGCAATTAGATGGTTGATATGATGCAACTGAATCTTGGGGACGTGCAGTTGAAGAGACCTCAAGCCAAGACTCGGTTTGCTCAAGCCATTGCTGATATGTATGCTGAGGTTGCGGTCAAGGAAGAAACTCGGTTCCCACTTAAGTCTAGCTTGTAAATAGTTTTTCTCGTCCGCATTAACACCTCACAATACTAGGTTTTAATTGAACATAAGACGATAGTTAAGGCTTTTGGAAATGTTTAATAATGGCTTCTATGTTGAAACTTTTTCTTGTGAAATAAATAATAAATGCCTTGGTATCAAAGTTCCGCCACCCTGTATCTATCCAAGCTGCAGTGCATGTGCTTGTGTTGGGTGTTCATTGACAGATTTTGGTCCTCTTTCTGTTACTTGCATGCGCTCAACATTGGTGATCAGACTGGCATACCAGGTCTCATTTTCAGTTGCAGAAGCCACTGCTCATAATCGTGTGCTCTGTCAATCTGAACGCATCTGTTCTGGCATTTAAATGAACAGACTTATAATGCTATGGAGATGTGGCTAAATGTGTTGGAAAACAAAATGTTTTCCTCGCCAACACAGAATTAAATGACCTTGGATTGCGACGTTGATATTATTAATCAAGTTATGGTATGTCATGTTCAGACATGTCCATATCTTTGCATCGTCAAGTGACTGTTACCCATTTGCTGCAACGTACAGCACTTACTTCTATTTCGCTGATTGAGAAAAGTTTATGGAGCTTCGGCAGACTTTTTCGTACTCTTCTTCTAGACGTCTCAATCAACTCACGGCTTCAATTCACAAGCGCTTGTAAAGAATGGACACATCATAGTGGGCAATGAATTTCATCTCCAAGTCCTGTCAGTGTTGATTTATTGATTCAACAATCTAGCACTAGCACTGTGATGATCAACGAACCAGACACACACACAGCTGCATGGGGCGTAACAATAAGCAGGCGGTTGCCCATATAAACTCCAACCCTTGTCCTCGTTATTGCAAACGATCATCGTTTACTCCTCTCTGCTCGCTCCACTCATCTTCTGCTCCATCGACTTTGCTCCAAGCTTTTCTTATCTTTTCATCACCGATATTGTGATGGCTAGAATTTTTGAAACCGTAGTGATTGCAGCACTGGCCCTTATACTGGGCCTAGCACTGGTGGTGGATGTTGAGGCAGCTTGCAATGCCATGACATTGCAGCCTTGTCTTGCGGCGTCCCAAGGAAAAGTTGCCCCAGATCCGGCATGCTGCACTGCTATCAAGAACATCGGGTTAAGTGCCGATGGGCCTCAGTGTCTGTGCACCTTAGCCACCGGCCCCCTGGCCAAGGCTAATGGTGTGTCAGCTGATGCCGCCATGGCTATTCCAAAGAAGTGCGGCTTACCCGTCCCCAAAGGTTTCATGTGCAACAGTATGTTTCTCTGTCCAGATCTTATTCCATGTTGATAAACACTCCACTTTTTCTCAGTGGAGCAGGTTCGGTATAGAGTTATCATAGTAAGGCAAATTTAACTCCTGGAAACCTACAGACAACCCATGATCTAAGCTCACATACATATTACCTGTTGATACTTGCAGACAAGCCGGTCCCAGGCTCATGAAGACACAGCGTCTAACGCCAATACAAGCAATGGAGTATTGGTCTTTGTGGAATGACGTGAAGAATTACTCATTTGTCGCTGCTGAAACACATTTGCTCATTGTGTGCCGTCCTCATTTTGTGATATGTTATCTGTGATAACCCCTCTGTCAACTGCCTCTAATGGGTGGTCTATATTTTGAGTTATAAATAAGCTTCTTGCAAAATACATTGAGTGCAGAAGCATTTATTTAATCCTTGCAAAATGTATGCCCTTTTGCGTACTCTTTCTTTTTGTCAACTACAGCACAGTGAAAAGAATGGTGTAGGATGTGAATTCACGAGCTGCTACTGTACATATTTGTTGATCAATGCTAATCCATCATTCTGTCTGCTTCGCTCACATGCCTTGCTAAAGTCCACATGTATACTTGTTCTTGTTGACACGCTTGCCATATACGCCTCGTTAACTCTCAGAGTCTGGAAATGCAGCTGCTGTGGTTTAACATAAGTTCCTCACGAGTTAGGTATGTGATCAGCCCTTCCGTGAGAAAGGGGAGTATTCTGAATAGTTTTTATTTTGAGAAGATGAATTTATGGTTAGACATAAAGTGTAGATAGAAACCTCTCTTCAAGTAATGGATTTGTATATTCTAAATATTCATCAATTCATTTATATTCTAATTAAGATGTAACTCATCATCGAACACCACGATCACCTAATCCATCATGAGTATGAATGATTAAGTTTCGTCACTATTGCAATTGTTATGAATATATATATATATATATATATATATATATATGTTGATGTACTAGCGAATGTGTGATTGTAATTGCAAATTGGTTCCTTGGTTGACAATCAAGACGAGTGAATGAGAATCAGGGAAACAAAAATCTAGTGTAAAAGAAATTGGTGGATATGTTGTGGATGAATGTTAACTTCTCTTCCAAACATATTTTATACTTTTAAATTCTTCAATTTGTACTTCCAATATAAGCCTTTTATACTTGCGTTTGTGGGCAGTATTCATTTTAGTACAATAGTGACAAGACTTGAACACATTTGGAATATATATTTTTGTTTTTGTTCAACTTACATTTGACAAAAGACATGTTGATAATTTAAATCAGCATTTGTATGAGAAAAGCCAACAAATTTGGAGTTTATCAAAATTCGCAAAACCCCATATCCATTAAAAAATTAAAACGAATATACAAACAAATGAATGTATAAATGATATGTGTAGATGAGATAATTTGGAATGTGTAACAAACCTACCCATGGTCAAAAGCATTATTATTTGATCCTATGATTTCAACATTAAACTAATAGGACAGAATCCCATCCCCCCTACTATCACAACACACAATTCAGCATGTATTTTCTCACCGTTTTTGAAGGATAGATTTGTCTCCTCTGCCGTTTTGGACAATAGGCAGCAGCTATGAGCACCCAATTGCAAGGTTGAAGAAGAAGTCTAAACTCATGAATTCTGCAAGCTCTTTGTCTACTTGAAACTACTGAAAGGGTTGGACAATTCTTACATTGAGAATTGAGGACACTATCTTTCTTGACGAGGTGAAGAACTGAAGTGCTCCTGTTGGTTCGTATTGTTGCACCATAGCTAAAGCTGAGGCTTTTATCGTCTTGCAGCCAATTCGTGCAGTATACCAGACGAGATGCAAAGTGGGGGAACTCTAAGCAACAGTGAGATCATCAGTGTAGTGTAGGTGAATTGCAGGGAGCAAGTAATCAAGCTGCATGCCTGCGCACCCAAATTCCTGGCTCTCATCTTTGACACCATTCTCTGTTAGGGTTTTGGTCATGTCCATTGTGCAGAACTTCATGGTGTCGTACTCTAAGATGGCCTTCCACTCGTAGCTCGCTGCATGCTTGTTGTGCTCTGTGTACCGGTACAGGATCTCGTTGATGGTCTCCTCGCACGGCACCTGCAATCAGTCGATTCTCACAGTCCTGATTTGTATTTTGTCCATTCTTTAGCTTTTAATGCCTAGTTTCTGCGTTTGCTTGGATTGGCTAAACATGCTAATGCTGCTGCTTTAGTGATATTGTCATTCCAGTGCCGTGTGTACCTCCATGACGTAGACGTGGTCGAGAAGGATATTTTTGACGCGGATGAACTGGGTGCGCTTGCTGAGGAAGCCAATCACAAAATTCTTATCCAACCACCACGGATTGTAATCCATGTTGAAGTCCGTTCGCGGAAATGGTGGGGGGATGTGTGCAAATCTACCCTACTCATCGCCCCTCACAGGTACTTCAGTCAGTGCAGTCTCATTCTTTGTTCAGCCTTTTGTAAACAGATTTACTCACATAGTCTGAAGAATAAGCAAAATGGAGAGCTCTCAGGCGTGCACCTGAGGAGTGTAATAGGTGCTGAGCTTCATTGTCGGATGGCGCCACAGCAGAACCTCGACGCCGATCTCCTCGTCCATGTTGAACGTCCGTGGCTCAAACCACTGGCTGATGTCCTTGCCTGCGTTCTTAATGATAGGCTGCATTTCAATCAACCAGTTTATATTTGATAATTGCTTTTCATTGTTGAAAGCTTGAATGCTTTCTCCAGGTGTAATAAGGCTGCCACATTTTGATTAACATCTGCCGGCGCCTCTGCACTATCTAAATGAAGGGTGCGAAATGAATTAAGGCTACTGACCTCGCAGAGCACGGGAGGATTGTCGGCAAACAGTGGGGTGACATTATAGACACGACCGCTTATGGTTACCCAGCAGTCAGTAGTGGAGCAATGTGTTCCCACTTCCCTTGCGGTATACCATCTGTCATTCCACAGCATTTTCCCATCAGACTCGACTAAATTCTTTGTGGTTTTTCAGTGGACAGGAGGGAGAGGTTCAGTTTTGAAAATTAGGGTTTTTCACTTTAATATAATAGTTTGGCAGGGATTCTTTTCAGTCTGTTACCATGGAGTCGGAGTCTATGTTCGGAAAAAATGTAGTTACTTAAGCAATTTTCGATTGTCATTTGTGATTTTTGAGTGGACCTTGTGGTATTGAGGCTTACTTGCTGATTGGTTTTCTTGCACTGCTCACTTTCCTCAAATCTTCGAACGTGAACTTGGAGTCCAATTGGTCCTGGGCCATATTACAAAGTGGCTGATTGTGCTTGTATGACTTCTGCTAAGTTCACCAGGTTAAGATCCTCGACTGATTGATTCAAGAGTTACTTGAGGACGTTTGCATGTTTTTTTAATATGCAATCACATCATGTACATATTCCTAGTCGCACTACTGTTCTGACTTTTTTGGCAGAGAATGCGACACTAGGATGGTGGCATTAGTGAGGTCGACTGGTTTGTGAAGAGAAATTGAAGATCAACATTGTATTTGGAGCGTATTGAGTAAAAGGTGAGGAAGAACAGTCTCAAAGGAACCCGCCACGCTATAAATTTAGGATTTTGATGAATGCAATCTCAAAGCCATATCCTGTTACTGCTTGGAAGACTGATGACCACTGTAAATAGACCTAGCAGTTAAACTCAAATCAAACAAATCAAAGATACACATCACGATTTGCTAATTCTGTCCTGAATGTTGAGTTCCGCAAGGTTATCTGAGGTATGCCACTGCTGCCACTAAAATGTGATGGTTCATTGTTTGGAATCGTCGTGTACTTCAGACTTTCGAAATCTCCGCAACTCACTTTAAAATCCCCATTTGCAACGTTATGGCTATGACATGCCATCATGCGAACTATCCATTAATTATAATTACGAGTTCCTTATCAGGAGGTAAGTTAAACTCTGACGCAGAACTCATTATTAACAATTAACTAGCAATGAGTTAACATCCTACCTAACTAGTACCATATCTCGACTCACCAATTGATGATTTTGTTTGACACTTCGTCCCTAAACTTACTTCAGTAATAAAACGATGATACCAGTGTCTCAGATATGAACATTTTATAACCATACTTGACTAGCACTATTTTCTGTGACGATCCTTTAAATGTCCTAAAACCGAAAAGTAGTGATCTACTCTGGCTGACAAGTCTAGTGCTTGCAAGGTGTGATGGTGAGAAACGTAACTAATAATCACATATAACCACTTGTTCTGCATTTAAATTCCCATATATACTGCATTAACAAATTCTTGCGGGATTTCTCGCAAGTTTGAGAGTTTTCAAGTAAGAATACTTTGTGTCCGAACACTCCCAACCCATGGGCTACAGGATCTCAGTAAGATTCAATCTGTGGAATATGTTAAAAGATACAACGTGATGCAGAGAGAACTGGTTACCAACGAAGATGTGAATGCTAAAAAGAATTCATCGCATGTTGAACAAGCCGAATCTGGTCTTGGCGTTTACACCTAATATCATGTCAACGAGTCTCCAAGTATGGGATGATGGAACTTCAAACCCACAATGATTGATCAACTTCTAAAATCGTCCTCAAACCATCATTAATACGCTCGAAATGAATGGTAATCTCACCCACAAAGCACCATCCAAAGGCATGCAGTGACGAACGTAGACACGGAAACAGTAAATGAGGACGCTGTACCATCTTTAATTACTTTTTATCAAGAAATTTGTGGTCGACTCTCACATGGAATGAAATGCGTCACATGGTATAGATGAAAAGGTGTATACTGTGTTCTTGAACGTCATCTATTGAGAACCGCTTAAAAGGTACAAGTTTAGTTTTTAATACAAAAAATAATTGACCCTTGTTACTAATGTCCGACAACAAGAACGGCAGAATAGTAAAGATGTGATGAGGACAGCAGGGAAGTCGAGGACTTACAAGTAAGCTTTCCAAGCCCAGAGACAGCGTGTGTCTTAGAGAAGCATCAATTGAATCTAACACAGATCGCTTCTTTTTCTCCTCCAAGATCACAGCATTGACTCCAGCAACAGAAGAAACAACAATTTTTCCAAAATAAGGCCATTCTAGTGCAGACGCCCTCTCTTACTACATCATCCGTTTTTGGCATCATTGCCTTCGACTTCTTAGTGGAAAGAGTTGGAGATTGTTTCATAGCTGGAGCTGCAGTAGGCACGGAATCGTGCAAGGAAGGATCACAGAAATCGACGACTAAACAGATCAAGCAGGCAATTTATATGTAATCTTGTTATTGAAATAAGACCAAGTAATACAAATACTGGGGATTTAGACGAGGTAATTGTGAGCCATGTTCTATATGCAAAAATTGCACACGTAATGTGTTCACGAATCTCTATGTAGCATTAACATGCATTGGGCATTTTCATCACACATCAATTTTTTTTTTTTTTTTATATATATATATATATAGATATATACGTATGTAGTTGCAGCAGGTCCATACAAGGCCAGTGTAATAGAACAAAGCGAGCTTGTTCTAGCACAACACTGCAACAAGGACGAGAGAGATGATCAAATAAAATTCCAAAATTCCAAAATTTCTATATTGTCTATTGTACTTTTTGATTTTGTTGTTACTACTTGAATCTTTGATTCCCTCGGCAATTCCTTTGGCACCAGATACGCCAGATTGCATGGTTGATCCTTGCCAACAACTACTGCAGCCTGCATTAGGCTATGCATTTAGGTCAATGCAAGTACTCTCACCATTCTGTTCAGTTCATTCCACCTAACAAAATCTTACAAAGTTCACAAACGCGCCCTAAGATTCATACCTCCAATTCAACATGTGCTCAATCTCTGCCGATTGCTTTCAAAAATTATCAAAATTTTCTGTTGTAGCAACTGAATGGAAACCATAACAAAAGCCTTGTGGGCCTCAAATGATTGCATCAACACAAAATTTGTAAACAGCCAATTACTCATCCACAAAGATGCATGACTTAGATGTTGCAATAATTGTGATTGTAGTTCTTGAAACAAACTTGTATTAGTATCATTAGAAAGGGGATGGAAGAGCACTCTTGTTTGCTTTTGGAAAACAATATCCAGCAGTAAAGCTACTGCCCTGGCATACATGTGGAGCACATTAAATTGCTGAACACAAAATCCACCAATTGGAGAATTTAATGGTATGTAGAAAACTGTCTCTTCATTAAGAGATAAATCCGATAGTTTTCTACCAAGAAAGTCACAAAACATAAATTTTATTTTATTTGCTTTGATGATGTCGTGGAGTGAAGGTCTTTCCAAATACAAAGTAGTCAATTCTCAGAGAAATTTACGGAACTTTGCAAACTAAGCACAAATTGTAACTACAGCAATACAAAAAACTGAGAATCTTGATCACTTTTAAATCAAAGAAAATCCAAGTAACGATCCAACATGTGACCCATTTACGGATTGAAATACAAAAAACAGGACTGAATCCACACCTTCCAGACTTGTTGATAAGAGCAAAATGTGCTGTAGATCTGACAGGTATCTACTCCGAAGTGAAGTCCAGAGAGACTCTGAGAATAGTTCAAAGGACTAAGTGGTTCAAACATACATGCTCCATACGTCATGTGAAGAAATATGCCTTGTAATGGTATACTCATATTCAACAAGCACAATGTTCTCTTTAAGATAGCCATGGCTAGAATTGATGCTCAATGCATTCAATTTTCAAAAGAGAAACATTTTTCGTCCTTAAAAGCACACAACCACCAAAGTTATGATATCATAAGAACACTTGAAGAATAACTTGCAAAGAATCCTTTGTAGCTATACTAATTCTACCTTTGCCTAATCCCAATTATGTTGAATGTGTTGTTACAACATCATAAAATAGTAATTTTTCTTCTTCACCTATGAATGGGTTTTGAACAATTTTAACAAATTCTTTACATACTTGCCCTTCTATACTTATTTGTCTATAAAATTTGGAACTTAATGTCAAAGGAAGTAGAGGCCAATGGGCCTTGAAGAAAATAGAGAGAAAGATAAGCCAAAGGGTTAGGAAGAAGCAATTATACATTGAATGAAGAAGTCAAAATATAATTATGGTAGCCAATCCATTGTCGACTACCTTCTATTTCCGATCTATAGACTCTTCTATTTTGACTAGATTGGTGACCTATTCTCCACTAGGTGTAAAATTTTGTGATCAACAATAGATTAAAGGCCTATCAAAAATGGATTAAAATTTGATTAGAATGGATTTTTGGCCATTGACAAAAATTGGTTTTTGCATAAATAGATGTGAACATATAGAGGAATCATTTATGAATTAGCTGCTATTTTTTTTATATTCATCTTGTGGTTGGTATGCAAGCTTTTGATCTTAAAAATTACATTGGCCATATGCCAAAAATCCATACACAACTGATTAAGAATAAAATGAAGATGGTTCATGTTGCTTCTTCACAATCGGCATTAACAACCATTGCATCCATTATAAAGCAAGTGTGAGACATAAATAGGTTAATTCTTGATTTTGAAGTATTCTAAAACTACAAGTTTGGAAGTGGAAGTACCAAATTACAAGGTGCAGAGAAATGAAAACTTATGACATAATCTACATTGCACTAGGTGAATGTGGAGAAAAGTGGGTGTCTTTTTTTTCTCGCTTGTTTGAACTTTGTTGCTTCAATATATACCATGCTTTTGTTATGTGTACAAACTTGATATGATTTATATAGCAATTCCATGTAACAAATTCATGCACATTATTTGCAAAGTGTATACAAGAGGAGGAGGTGGAAGAAAGGAAAAGATAGATCTCAACAATTAAGAATTTTCCTTTCAAATTGAATGCTTTAGAAAGAACATACTTGGAGATAAATTAGATCAATAAAAGCATTCTTATCACTTTCTTAAACTACAAAAACTTTTAAACTCTTAGTCAATTTCAATGTTATACTAGTTATTTTCAATTCTTCTTTTTATTTTTTTTGTCTCTTCTTTATACTTCATGTCTTTAAAATGTGCCGCGCTTTTGTGATGTATATAGATTCATGATTTGTAAAATAATTTTATTTAATAAATTCATGCAAATAATTTACAAAGCTTCAAAAAATACTTTAAGAAAAGTATATGTTCCACAACCATATATCACATATGCAAGATGTAAAGCTACATTTACGGCCTAAATTGGTATATCCAGTTGGATGCTGGCTCAAGTTGGCACCATGGAGTAGTCCTCAATCAAAGTTAGCACGATGGTTTGGTTACCAATTTCAATCAATACATAGAGGTGGTTGTCATCTATGGTTGTTACAATAATGCAATCATTGACCTTGATAGGCATTGTGAGGCAATTATTGACCATGGTCAAGACAAAATGTCAATTGTTATTCCCAATTGGTCTAATGGGACAATCATTGGCTATAGTTGGTGCAACAAAATGGTCATTAATTTTTGGTCAATTTAATGGGGCGGTCATTACCTTTAATAGACTTGGCACTATATTTATCCATCTGAGTTAACCTAGAAATATAGTTATCAAAAATAATCCAATTGCTATTTAATTTAATTTAATAAATTTGTGTAAATAGTTTATAAAGCTTGAAAAAAATACTTCAAGAGGCAATCACCAACAATAATTGTTGTAGCATGGTAGTGTTAGGGACATAGTCCTTAGAACCTTCTAGAGACAAGTTTCTAGAACCTTCTAGAAGTAAGTCTTTAGAACCTTCTAGAAGCTTCTTAGTTGGTAGAAGATGTTAGGGACATAGTCCTTAGAACCTTCTAGAGATAAGTTTCTAGAACCTTCTAGAAGCAAGTCTCTGGAACCTTCTAGAAGCTTCTTAGTTGGTAGAAGTTGCTTAAGAAGCTTCCTAAATAGGAGTATATATTGGAATCGAGGCTGAAGAGTTCTTCAGTCTTGACAAAACATCTCTTGGAGCTCTAGCTCACCTCTCTGGTGTTGTTGTTGTATTCATCTGATTAATCTAGTTCTTGCCAGTTCTTCTTGAACTTCTTGTTAGATCTTGAGTCTATATTTCTGTGTCCATGACAGTTTGTCGAGACTTCACTCGCCTCAAATATCAGAGCTAGTTTCTTCCTCATTAGAGTGTGGATTACCCCTCTGCTTGGAAGTGTACTAGCATTTTAGAGGTTGCGGATTACCCTCCTCTAAATTGATACTTCTTTTGTTACAATATTGGAATCTTATTCTTCTTGGAGAGAGTGGATTACTCCTTTTCTTGAAGCTCTTAAGGCAATTTAGAGGTTGCGGAATATCCTCCTCTAAACCAATATTGTCTTCTTGTAGAGTCATTTCTATCCTTCTCTTAGAATAGTCGAGGGTCAAGTCATTAGTATGACGGAAAGTTCGGAGTCCAAGTTGGATGCTATCATGAATGCCCTCGCTACGTTATCTCAAAGAACTGCAGAGATTGAAAGAGTCGTGGCAAGGCTTCATAATGATGGAGCATCTGAGATGGCACAATCTAGGTTGCATCAGCCTCAAACTTCTACACTTGGAGAAACAACTTTGCCTCAGGTTCGACAAGCACCACTGATTCTACAACATAAGGAGCCTTGAGTTAGCCTTCTGGACAAGTTCGATGGTACGCATTTCAAGTTTCGAGGATTCGTCAACCAAATCAGGTTGATAACAGTTTTACAGCCCGAACGCTATCCAACGGAGGAGTCACGTGTTGGGCTTGTTGGAACCTTACTTACAGGGCAAACTCTATCATGGTTTGCTCATTTGTTTGAGAAACGATCGTCCATACTAAACAACTTTGAAACCTTTTTGGAGGCGTTTGCGGAAGCATTTAGTGAACACGACAAGGTTCGATTGGCTACAACAAAAATCCGGTCACTACGACAAGGGATGCGTTCTACATCAGTCTATGCATCGGACTTCAAGCAATTAGCATGCGACATCAATTAAGACAAAGAAGCGTTGATGAGTCAATTCTATTGGGATTTAAAGGACGATGTGAAGGATTTGCTATTAACTCTTCCTGATCCGCAAATGCTCAACGAAGCTATTAGCCAAGCTGTGAAGTACTATAACCGCCTATTCCAACACCGCCAAGACCAACGTTCAAGACAACATACAGTTTGCCACGCCTCAACTATGTCGACAATCAGCGTGAATTCACATTCAGAGATAGAAGACATGTAAATTGATGTGGTGGGTGTCAAATCTTTTGCTCTAGAAGAAAAAATGTGACGTATGGAGGAAGGTCTATGCTTGTATTGCGGTGAAGAAGGCCACAAAGTTGGAAACTGCCCCATGAAGCAAAATCGACGTATTGACAAGACTACGGGTGCGTTTATTCA